TGCAGACCCCACGAACCGCCGCAGCTTGGTTGGGGTCTCGCCGTCTCCACCCACTCTGGACCCAGGACCAGGGTCCAGCTTCCAGCAGGTCGACCTCTCTCCGAATTCCAGAGAGCAGGAACAGGAACAAGCTCTTAGCAGAGCTTAGTGATTATACCCTGGGGAGTATAGTGATTATAGCAATCCCCAGAGTGTAGTTTCTCCAATCCCCCAAACATGAGCCGAAACTTCATGAAGGTACAAGATGATCTGACTCCAATGAGCGTTTATTACTCCTTATATACAAGTTTTCAGGTCAGAGGCACACCCCCTGGACCTGGTGATAAACTGTGACAAAAGGGACACAAACCAGTGGGAACACTAATTAACATGATAACACTCTCACATGCACAATGAAATCCCTCCTCTCCATCCTGGAGATAATTGGCTTAAGGCACTGCAGTAAACTCAATTATCTCCAGGTACAGAAAATATCTACATTTAACACTAACAGCAAAATACGTAAAAGTACATAAAAATACATAATTCTTATTTTATTACACAGAACCCCCACATTTAACCTATCCCCAGATAGCTCGGATCTGAGCGCCCAATCTAGGTGAACAGCGCTCAGATCCCATGAACAGAGTAGATTTTCCACGGGGTAAAGCATAGCAAGGGCTGTTGAGAAACCAAGGAGGGACAAAAGCAGTCAGTTCCAACTGGTTTGGCAGTGTGCCTGGGACAACGCCCTGCTGGAGAACAATAGACAGGAAACGGGGGAGGGGAAGAAACACACCTTCCCATGGATTCAAATGGGAAGAAACTGTCTTTAGAAGCCAATAAGCCCCAAATAGTCTTTTTAAATGGCAATACACCCCAGGGCCATAGTCATGAGGAAGGAGGCTGGCAATCAGGCTCCTCCAAAAGCCGGGGGCAAAGGGCAGCTTGTCACCTAACAATCCAGGGACAAAATGCATTTCGTCACAGTACCACTTTAAATTATACATCCCCTGGTAGCCCTGATCTGGGTGAACAACATATCCCAAAATCACCCAGATCAGAACAGGGGTTCGGGAAATTCATGGAGGGAATAAAATGACCGACCGCGCTGGAAGGAATAGCCGAATTGGGCTCCATGCGATGGGGCCCTGCGGTCGGTCCTGGAACAAGGGAATAAATCATACAAAAGCCTCTAGTTACAGAGACTGGGGAGGGTTCGCCTGAATCCCCTCGTTCGGTTGTTTCTATCTACAGAACGAGGGGCCGTTCGGTAGTTTGGAACCGAACAGACCGGGCTTGTGGAGGTCCCAGCGGTGTTCGCCTAGATGAGTGTCCGATTTTGAGTTCCAGACACTCGACGGCAAAACACCGCTGTTCGGGAGTTTTTAAATGGCCGCCGCCATGTGTTCGTTTCCCGAATGGCGGCTACCCCCGAGAACAAAGGACTGCTACTTAGCTTGTCAATTACCTGTTCGCAACAATGTTGCAACGGGTAATTGAAGTCACACTTCACACAGGGGAGGTCTGACTGTTCAGTAGTTTCATTCGAACAAACTAAGGGAATGAAACTACCGAACAATCAGACGAACACAATACATTTAACACATATAACTTTGCCATTTACACGAATGCAGTCAAAACCAATACAATTCCCAGGACAGCCCAGTGCCATCCACTACAGCCATTATCAAATACTTGGTGCTTCTGTGTGCGTGACACGTACCTTACATTTGGTGATGAAAAAAGAGATGTCATCAGTCCAATTAATGCAATATTGAGCCTGGAATTATTTTATGTACAGATAGTGATGCAAAAAATTGGCACAGAGGGGCGGGGCCGGACCGCCGACGGGATCAGACGTGCTTTGTCTGAGCTCCCGCGTCAGGGCCGAAAAATCGGCGAAAACCGGAGGCCAAACCTAACCAGCGGTCCATACTGGCGACCAAATTGACCCCCAGCTGATGGGGAACGCGGGGATACCTCACAAGACCCTGCCTGGCAACAGTGACCCGACAAGGGCCCGAAGCAGAAAGGAGCTTGAGCCGGGATGGGACGGCCGCCCTCCCGGGTCTCCAGTCAGCGTTTGGCTCCCCTCCCCCCCTCTGGACTGGGGGGGTCATCCCGGTCTACAAGGGCAACCACTGGGGCACAAATCTGGGCCCAGAACAACCACTCTGCCGTGGAACACCTACCGAGCGGCACCCCACAAGATGGCCGCCGCTCGCAAGCCATGTGCGCGACCGGCCAGCATGACAGAGCCGATCGCAGACCACCCAGCTAGAACAAGGCAAGTCCGGGGACAAAACATCTACCACAGCAGGGGAAAGAGTGGGGCTGAAAGAGTTACTAAACCCTCTGACCGCAACCGGCGACCCCTGGGGGAGCTGTGCTCTCACGCCGCATGATGTTTCTACCAGCCGCCCTTCCCAAGCAACAACAAGCTTGTTAGCTCTGCACTCGGCTAGAGATCAAGCCTGGAAGGAGAAGCCCAACTACCACCCAGATGAGTACCCTAGACACCTGTGAAAGCATGTGGATCCCTGTCATTGTGCATTGAGCAGGACTACTGTGTCTCCCTGTCACAGCCCACGAGTCTGAAGTTAACCCATCCTATAGGCCAGCACAGAGACAACCACAGCCCAACGTTACGCGGGCTTTACAAGGGACTACAGTTTTAACTTTGTCTTGCTGCCTAAGCCCCAGTATTCTTTGCCATACACTGCTACAGTATTGCCTTTCCTACCTATGTTAACTGGCAACGATCTGCTAAGCTCCAGTGGTCCTAACTAAGCTTTTGACTAGCCAATATGTAAAACAATAATTACTACTTAAAACGTAAGCTCTTGTCTAGCCAGCATGTTAAACAATAATTCTTACTTAAAACGTACCAATCGTGCATTGCATAACATAATTCACCACGTGTGTCTGACATGATTCTTCAGTATCAGTGAGCTAGGCATATATGCAGATTTAATATTATATTATCTTGTCTAGATACCAAACGTGCAGTATAAATCTGTTATGTCTTACACCATGATAGACACACTGGTTCAGCGTGGTCCTAGCCTACCCCAGATATAGCATGTTTACCTTATCGCATGATACACCCAGCATGTATTGTTAACCCGTTGTATATTACTTTAAAAAATGTGTGCAGTCACTTCATATACCATGTCAAAGTTACACAATGTTTGATGCTTGAACTACTTGCCAATACTGTCGTGGTATCGCAAGTCTGTATGTAAACGCTTGCACAACAAAAATAAAGAATTAAAAAAAAAAAAAATTGGCACAGCTTTAAGCAGCGCTGGTTTCCTGGCTACAAATCATAAAACATGTCTAAGTCATATGCAGGGAGGTGTGGCTAGGTCTATATAAGTAAAGTGATTTACCTGCGAAACAGCAAAGAATTGAGCAGTGAGACTGCAGGGGCCATAATCTAGACACCAAAACAGCTTCATTAAGCTAAAGTTGTTTTGGTGCCTATAGTGTCCCTTTAATGTTACGGTGGGAATATAGGAGACACTGCATAAATAGACATAATGTTAGAATCTCCTGTTAAATACTAATGAAGTTTTAGCAATGTAGCTGTGGCTTTCTGTGTGTTTAGCTCTATGGAACGATTTCCACGTTTGCATTTGAGACGTTTGGCTTTTTCACTAAATGCTGAATTGCATGAATGGGCTAAAATTAGGGCTAAAGTATTTTATCTAGAATTTCTCTCTTTATCTAAAACTCTGCTTTACCATTCAGATTTTAATTTGCTGCAGTGCAAAGTTTAGTGAGCAAGCTGGCTATACAATGTGTCACAGTTGTGTTAAAAAAAACAAAAAAAAAAACACTTTTTTTATGTCCATCTCTCCGTGACGGAGCCCGCTCTCAGAAAATCATTTTGCGTCCATGCTGTGTAATCAGGCTTTCAACTCTCCTTGCCTCTCTCCATCCCAGTTTGTACACACCAGGATAAATATAGCTGTCGAAGGCTGAACTATTTCCATATAAATTGCGCAGAAAAATATTTGTGAGCCTTAATAACTCACTTTATATGTACAAACAGTAAGGTATCCATTTTTACTGCTGAATAAAATCAACTGAAATGAGGTGAACTCTTGCGCTTGAAACTGATTGCCTGATTTCATTTAACCTGATTTCTCGCATGCATTCTTAACTATTGTGGTACCGGAGGGCAGAATAATGATCTTTGTGATATTCCTCTGCCACTTGCAGGGATCCAATCCTGAGCCTTCTTTACTCAATAGAACAACACAAGTCTGCCTTTTTATTTGGCGAATACCATGTTTGCTATCCTTTCACACTGGGATGGTCGTTACATTGTTTACTGATCATCTGCCAATGAATACTGCTTCCAATTCTCAGTCTGAGGATCAAGAAATTATTAACTTTTTTTTGACTGTGTCAAAGACTTTGTAAGTTGTGTTAATCCATTTATTGGCAATACACTGACCCGTAGCACGCATTGTGGTCATAGAACCATTGCCCTTCTCCTTTCGTGTCCCTACATTTCCCTATAGTTTTATAAAAGCTGGAGCAATAAGAACCCTCTTCTATCTTCTAAATGTGTTTAGATTTCTAAAGATAAAAGCTGTTAAAAAGCACTCCCCCACCCCCATTTGCCATCAAAATGTTAGTGTTTTTACTTATTTATTTCAGTGCCAAGACTCCCTCGGCGCTGCTGGCCTTTCCGTCTCATGCATTGTCATTAAAGAGACGCCCAATCCAATGCTTCTCATGGTGTGCATGCGCGGCGAGTGCTGTGCACACATCCAGTGCTTCTCATAGGAAAACACTGAATCATCACATAGCTGAGTTTTACTCGGTCGTAGCAGCATGTTTACCCTTTAAGTTAAACATTGTCCTTTCTGCAAACCGGCAATGTTTTACATTGAAAGCTTTAAATGACAGGACTACAGCGCCCTAATCACTTGATGGAAAATCAATGGACTCATTAACTATAGTGTTCCTGTAATAGACCATTTAAAATAAAGGTACAGTTCATTCTTAAAAAGAGAGCTGTCCCTATTAGTCAGAAGCCTCCTGCTTCCGCTGTATTAGATGGGAGCCTCTTGCTTCCCCTGTATTAGGTGGGAGCCTCTTGCTTCCCCTGTATTAGGTGGGAGCCTCCTGCCTCCCCTGTATTAGGTGGGAGCCCCCTGCTGCCCCTGTATTAGGTTGGGAGCCCCTTGCTGCCCCTGTATTAGGTTGGAAGTCCCCTGCTGCCCCTGTATTAGGTTGGAAGTCCCCTGCTGCCCCTGGTATTATTGGACGTGAGTCTCCTGCTCCCCCTGGTATTATTGGTCGTGAGTCACCTGCTCCCCCTGGTATTATTGGTCGTGAGTCACCTGCTCCCCCTGGTATTATTGGATGTGAGTCTCCTGCTCCCCCTGGTATTATTGGTCGTGAGTCACCTGCTCCCCCTGGTATTATTGGATGTGAGTCTCCTTCTCTCCCTGGTATTATTGGACGTGAGTCTCCTGCTCCCCCAGGTATTATTGGTCGTGAGTCACCTGCTCCCCCTGGTATTATTGGACGTGAGTCTCCTGCTCCACCTGGTATTATTGGACGTGAGTCTCCTGCTCCCCCTGGTATTATTGGACGTGAGTCTCCTGCTCCCCCTGGTATTATTGGACGTGAGTCTCCTGCTCCCCCTGGTATTATTGGACGTGAGTCTCCTGCTCCCCCTGGTATTATTGGACGTGAGTCTCCTGCTCCCCCTGGTATTATTGGACGTGAGTCTCCTGCTCCCCCTGGTATTATTGGACGTGAGTCTCCTGCTCCCCCTGGTATTATTGGACGTGAGTCTCCTGCTCCCCCTGGTATTATTGGACGTGAGTCTCCTGCTCCCCCTGGTATTATTGGACGTGAGTCTCCTGCTCCCCCTGGTATTATTGGACGTGAGTCTCCTGCTCCCCCTGGTATTATTGGACGTGAGTCTTTTGCTCTCATATTCCTCACTGTGGTAGTGCTCCTTCTCTGTCTGAGCTCAGACTTTTTGCACCATGTAAAGATCACATCACATTCCTTATACACAATGCATACTGTTTTTGTTTATGTTGGACAGTCCCTCTTTTGGCGCCCAGATTGCCCTGCTCCACTTTTAGACGTGTCTGAGTGTGTAATAGGGCTTCACAGCAATGCGACTCTCAGTGTGTAATAGGGCTTCACAGCAATGCGACTCTGTGTGTAATAGGGCTTCATAGCAATGTGACTCTCAGTGTGTAATAGGGCTTCACAGCAATGTGACTCTCAGTGTGTAATAGGGCTTCACAGCAATGCGACTGTCAGTGTGTAATAGGGCTTCACAGCAATGCGACTCTGTGTGTAATAGGGCTTCACAGCAATGCGACTCTCAGTGTGTAATAGGGCTTCACAGCAATGCGACTCTCAGTGTGTAATAGGGCTTCACAGCAATGCGACTGTGTGTGTAATAGGGCTTCACAGCAATGTGACTCTCAGTGTGTAATAGGGCTTCACAGCAATGTGACTCTGTGTGTAATAGGGCTTCACAGCAATGCGACTCTCAGTGTGTAATAGGGCTTCACAGCAATGCGACTCTGTGTGTAATAGGGCTTCACAGCAATGCGACTCTGTGTGTAATAGGGCTTCACAGCAATGTGACTCTCAGTGTGTAATAGGGCTTCACAGCAATGCGACTCTCAGTGTGTAATAGGGCTTCACAACATGACTCTCTCAGTGTAATAGGGCTTCACAGCAATGTGACTCAGTGTGTAATAGAGGGCTTCACAGCTTTAATCTTTGCATTTCTCCCAATTAGTAATAGGGCTTCACAACTTAATGTCTGACTCTCACAGTAAACAGTATGTAGAGACTCACAACAATGGAAAGCTTTTAAAAGTAAACCTGTTAGAACATCCAATTAATTAATAATTTATAAATGTAGTAAAAACATCCCGCCCTGCTTGCCTGCCCCCCCCCCCCCCTAATGTGATTGGCACTTCCCAGACCATTCACAGCATTCTACATTGCCAACACTGACATTCAAACGGAGTGAAATCAGTCACTCACTTCTTATATTCCTCCATCAAAGGATGACAGACATATTATAAACAGCTGTCATAGTGTCTCCGTCTGTAGGAAGTCTCTCCTTTTTATCTCCTGTCACTCACACTTCAGCGTGGTTGCCATGCCAGCATCTTTGCCGAAAGTTGATGGGCAAGTCTGGGGAGGGACTTCATTTGGAAAATATACAGCAATTCTGCTACTACAACTTATAGATGGAATGTTGTGCTCTTCAAAGCGAGTTTACGTTCTGTGCACTAGAACAGATGCATTTTAAAGTACAATGACTATATTTGGAAACTGTCAATAACATACTTTGATTTCTAAATTACAGCGATATACCTGGTCATCAATAGGTCATGAAGTCACCAAAATAGCCCAACCCAGTTTTCATTTCCAGCCTCACCCCCTAAAATGAATGTCCTTCTCTGGGCGTAGGGTACTTTGTAGGAGCCACTACAAGTTACTGATTTTAGTTTTAATCTGGGAAAACAAAAAAAAATTCCCCTTTAAAGCAGCCTCAAAATTCCAAAAGCCTGTTGGTTGTGAAAATCCAGGCCAATCCCAGTTTTTAAAGGAACAATCTAAAGGAAAAATGTGTATATATATATATATATATATTTTAGCAATTTAATAGATAAATACAGTTATGCATGTATTTCATTGAGGTTATATCTAAAAGCAGCTTGTAAAAGCTGCAGACTTTGTGTGCATTTGTTACAAGCCCTCCCCTTCTAACCCTGCCCAGACTTTTTGTGGCTGTCCAATCACAGTCTTCCCACTGCAGCTCAATGAGAAGACTTTGTAAGTCAGGTGCTCTGGACAGTTGCTGTCTATTGAGTTTTGCTTCACTGAGCTTAACAGGAAGTAACGGGACCAGTTATCTCACAGACAGTCAGGAGGGTGTAGCGAGCTTCATTAATAAACATTCCAATTTCTATCAAAATCTTCACTTGAAATATGACACACTCTTCACACATAAAGCACTTCAGCAAGCTAGTTCTTTAAGTATTTGGAGTGTCCCTTTAAGCCTAAATTGATTTATTGTAAACACTTTTCGAAAGCTGCTGTTGTTTTTACTTTTATTTTACACCTGTATTTTATTGTATGCTCTTTCCCCAGTGGGCTGTAATGCTGCCAGATTTTAAGGATTTCTCTAATTAACCTGTCTTTAAATAATTAATGTTGTTAATCAAAAAGTATTGTGCTAAATTCAAATCTGGAACCCTCCAGAGCTGTAGTTTGGCAGTCCTGCTCTAGTGTGGGAGACAGCAGCCAGCGATGTACGTCAATGTATGGCTTTGTGTTAAAACTCTATAAACGTTTTGTTTTTAATATTAAAAATGTCACTGCTCTCTGTATAGGGCTCCCGATGGTTCCTGCCTAATGACCAACAGCGAAGATAACATCCTGAGGATATATAACCTTCCTCCGGAGTTGTATATGGGCAACTGGGATATACTCGAGGAAATGGTTTGTCTCTCCTTATCGCAATATACAGAGCTTGAGCTATTTTTTTAGATGACTTTCTGATGGAGAATGAATTATTTTACCTATGCAATGCTTAGTGAATATTTCGCTAGACATACAGAGCTATAAATATATACAGTAACCTATGGATGTATTGCATACTGAAACGTGGATTTAAAATCTTATATTATTCTGTAGCAACAGATATGTGGGCAAGCTTCCCTTGATGGCTCTTTCTGTGAGAAATGGCGAGGAAATCGAGGTGAAGAATTAATAAAAGGCCTACAGGTGTAATTAGTACATCTGGAGATACCTTGCCTAACTCTCACCTGCAGTACCAGAGAGAAGGGGACTTGTCATAGATACAGGTAAATAAAGGGTTAAAAAGCCTTTTTGCCCTAGTGAGGTATTTCCACTTCTGCAGGGGTTAAAAGCCATAATTTTCTCTCTTGGCTGCAATCGATACTCCCTTCTATTTCATATCGCAAGCTGACACAGAGAAGATAACCTTCGTATAGTTTAGAGAAGACGTGCTAGACATGCGCAGTAGATTTCCTGTAATACGTAATGTTATATGAGAAATTATAAATTCTGTACTGAACATCTATGATTGGTTTATTTTGTCTTCTGTTGGACACACCCCTGTGAAAACTGTGTTTGTTTCATATATACGCTGTACCCCCATTAAAAAGCCATTATTTGTCCTTCTATAATGACTGGTTTGGATTAATTGTACACAATGATTAAGGAAAGCAGGATGTGTTACGGCATAAGACCCTGTAAAATTCTTAGATCCTAACATTTGCCCATCTCTGCCTGTGGTGATATCATCAACTTTCCCCTGTGTCCTTGTACCCCATGGTCTTTCCCCTTTGTTCTATGTAACATTTCCCTTTCTTTGGTTCCATACTTATCTCTTTTTAAAAATGCATTGTCACATGAGACCTTTTTGCACAAACGGATAGCGAACTAACTAAAAAATAGCAAAACGCTGCACATACAGACTCCAGGCACCATGACCACTTCAAATCACTGTGCTTGGAGTAATTCTTTGACTCTTATACCACGTAGATGGGAGTGGAAGTTCCTTTAATTAGTCTGCTTGTTTCCCTTTTTTGACTTCCAAACGTTTTCATCTTTGTAGAGCGCAGTCCTACGTATGGCTGAGGGGGACACGATTTATGACTACTGCTGGTACCCATGCATGAACTCCACTGACCCCGAAACCTGCTTGTAAGTATTCTAACCTTACACAGTGTGCCCTGCTACTCAATGAATGCACTCATATTGTGCTCAAATGGTACATGTATGCATTGAGGTCGCATGGTGTGGGATAGGATGTTAGAGGCATAATGTATGTCATTATTTTACCCTTTTCTTGAACATTAGCACACGGGCAAAATGGGGCGTTCCAATCTTTATATATGGCTCTATTTGAATTCAGGATATTGATTTTTTTTTATTTTTTTAAATAATTTCTTTGTAAATATACAACCTGTTGTGCCAATGAGAGAAGGCGGCAATATTTTGAACTAAGTTTTAACCCATCAGTGGTGGCACTCACAATCTGACATTTTAAATTCTGATTGTTCATGAGCCATGTGGCTGGGATCAGCTTAGCATGTTGAACTTAACATGATCCTAACGTCCTTAGCATATTGATCCTAACAGCCTTAGCATGTTGATCCTAATGTCCTTGGCGCGTTGATCCTAACGTCCTTGGCGCGTTAGATCCTAACACTGGCACCGGTTATAGATTCATTTTATAGATGCTTAGTGAAAAGACCTTGAATGATCAAGTTGACAAAACATTCCCATACGTCCATATGTCAGATGATGGACATATCATGGAAACGCATTTCCGCAGAGCTTCTCCTTTCTTGGTGGAGATTGTGATACACAATGTTAAATCTTCTAAGGTCTCAATCCTTTGATAAAAATCTCATATTCCCCCAGATTCATGTTGTAAAAGGCTAGATTTTATGACATTGTGTTTCTGATGTCTTTTTAAGTGTTGCCAGCAGCAGCCGTGACAATCCGATTCACGTGTGGGACGCGTTCCATGGGAACCTAAAGGCATCTTACAGACCCTACAATCATCTGGTAAGAAACACTTGAGTGTCACTGTTCTTCACTCTGTAAGTCTCTGAGGGGAGGGGACCACTTGTTAGCACTGCTGAGATTGCAAGGCAGAGTCATATGTGAGAGCTTACAGGGTGAAGAGACAGTCATATGTGAGAGATTACAGGGTGAAGAGACGGTCAAGTGTCACATTCTATAAAAAGCGGGGCAGGTATGTTTGATACCTCGCCAAGAAAGGAACAAACTTGATCTATGTTACTGTGCAGGTGGATGAGGCTTTCTGGAACCCTGATCTGGTGACTCTATTTACCGTGTGATTCTGTCTTGCAGGACGAGCTCACAGCAGCTCATTCTCTCTGTTACACACCTGATGGCGCTCAGCTGTTTTCTGGGTTTGATAAGATGGTCAGAGTATTTGAAACGTCTCGGCCAGGAAGAGACTGTCAGTGTCGGCCCACCTTCCGTGAGTATTCCTGTATATTTTATAGTAACATTGAATCGTGTGCTTGGTACGGCCTCACAGCATTGTGTTGGTGTCTGTCCTCTATCCAGGCTAAGTATTTATCCATGTGGGAGAACCCGCTCCTGTGCTGCCTGTTTTATCCTAACTAGCTAATGGAAACAAACTAGGAGATATAGAAATAAATGTGAATGACAGCCAAGTGAAAATGTAAATAAATAAAAAAATATATATGTATATGTAACGAAAGCTGGTATTGCAGATACCCATTCACCTATTTCCTCCGAACTGCTAGAGCCTGAGTGATTATAGCTCGCAGTTTGGGTGTTGATTTGAATGTTTCTCCAGACGAAGTACAGCATCCAAGTATATTCTCTCAGCAAAGTAGACAGGTACCCAAACATCAGCCTAAACTATATTAAGGGTATGTTTTATTCAGGCTAACCACCTGGTTTATATGCAGATGACAATGTACAGGGATTACATTGACCTATTCCAGGGGCATTCCCCACTGGACCCGAGAGGGGACAGTGACAAAATACATTCTGTAAGTCTATTGGGTCTCAGGTCCAGGACACACCCACTGACAATCATATCATCCGTCCCCTGTACTGGGGAGATAATGGAGTCAAGCAATTTACTAAACTCCATTATCTCCCAACACAAAAACATACATTTCCATAAATCTCAGAAAGTACCCCAAACTCCATGGGAACCCCACAAAAGTCATAACCCCTGATAGCCCCGATCTGGGGGACCAACATATTCAAAAATCACCCATCTCGGTTCAGGGGTTCAATAGTTACATAGAAGTCTTAATTTGACCGACACAAATTATGCTCCTGCCCCGAAATAGTTCCATGAAATTGGGCTGTGCGGTCGGTCTATTTCACAAAGTACAAAAAAACGAATAAATGCACGAACGGTTCCCCTGGCTCATAGGTAGCATTTGTTCCCCTAGTTCGTGGGAACAAATCTACCGAATAGCGCTCTCCTGGCTGGTCGGTGAAAGGAAGCAGGCGTTTGCGTAGTTTGACTGGCGTTTGGGAAGTTGAGTGACACTTGACGACCAAGTACCGCTGCCTCCTTTCGTGCGAACAAGATGTGCGCTGTTTCCTCTTACATGTGGCGTTCGACTATATAACGGTGGCCACACAGAGAGAGCACTTAATTGGCTTTGAAGTGAATGAGTCAGGGGGTGGTCAGTGTTCACTAGTTGTATCTACCAAACAGGGAAAAACAAAAGTACTGAAATAACTGGGGTAGTTTCTTCAAAATATATATATATATATATATATATATATATATATATATAATTAAAGTGCAACTGTCACTTTCCTGAATATTTAAAGAACGCTATAGGGTCAGGAACACAAACTTATTCCTGACCCCATTGTGTTACAACCCCCATCTAGCCCCTTGGTCCTCCCTTGCCTTCATAAATATAGTGAAATTTTAATTGCAGTTAAGTCTGCAGGTGCTGCCTCTGCCCCGATCTGCCTGCTTACAGCTGCCCTCATCAGAAGTGATTCTGTGAGCCAATCACAGTGCTTCCCCATAGAATTGGCCGAGACTGACAAGTAGGCAGATCAGGGGCAGAGCCAGCATGATACAAACACAGCCCTGGCCAATCAGCATCTCAGTGCATCTCTATGAGGAAAGTTCACAGTCTCCATGCAGAGGGAGGAGATACTGAATGTCAGTCACACTGTGCAGCACTGCCCCAGGAAGCACCTCTAGCAGCCATCAGAAAAAAAGTAATGGTGTAAATTTACATTCTTTTATTTCTTTTCAAGGTTGTCTGCAAAGCAACCTATAAATAAAATTGCTGTGTTTAAAATCACATGCTTATAGTTTAGCTATGCATTCCTTCCAAAATAAATGTTACGCTAATATTTCTTCAATCAAAAAATGCTCGCTAGTGAATACAACTGTTTTTAGAGATCTCTAGTTTTATAGAGGTGTATTGGTTTTTCTTTCTAATCCGGTTCATGTTTTTTCCAGAGAAGAAACAAGGACAGTCTGGAATTATTTCTTGCATTGCATTCAGCCCGTGTCAAGATATTTATGCCTGTGGATCCTACTCCAAATCCCTGGGGTTATACTCTCGCCATGAGGGGGTCACTCTTGCTGTTCTGCAGGGGCATCATGGAGGTGTCACCCACCTGGTTTTCTCTTCTGATGGCCACTGCGTTTACTCCGGTGGGAGAAAAGTAAGACTATTCCTCCATAACAGGGTGACAGAAATCTGTGTTCTGACTGTCCTATTTATAACAAGCAGACCGAAATCACAGAACTCTGACTGTCCCACTTACAGCAGGCCAATATCACAGAATTCTGACTGTCCTATTTATAACTAGCAGACCGATATCACAGAACTCTGACTGTCCCACTTACAGCAAGCCAATAGACACCCCAGTGTTCTGACTGTCCTATTTATAACAAGCAGACGGATATCACAGAACTCTGACTGTCCTATTTATAACAAGCAGACAGATCTCACAGAACTCTGACTGTCCCACTTACAGCAAGCCAATAGACACCCCAGGGCTCTGACTGTCCTATTTATAACAAGCAGACCGATATCACAGAATTTTGATTGTCCTGCTTACATGAGGACCATAGACAATCTATGGCTCTGGCTGTACTGATTACAACAGAGTGAGAGACATCCCAGGGCTTTAACCATTCTGATTACAACAGAGTGAGAGATATCCCTGGGACAACCACAACAAGGTGTTAGATGTCACAGAAATATAAGTATCCTCCAGTAATAAGGCTACTGTTATAAGGGGGTCTGTAAACCTTCCCATTGGGATCACATACTCTTGAGGATACAGACTGTTCAATAGGATTTAGTTCACCTCGAAGTGGTAGACAAGGTGATCTAGTGAATGTTCTTT